ATTTGTTTGTCCAAATCCACCAAATCCATTTGATTGCTGAGTATTGTTTTGTCCAAATCCAGTTGTACTTCCAAATCCACCAAACCCACTTGATTGTTGATTATTCATTTGTCCAAATCCACCGAAAGTAGTATTTTGAGTGTTATTGTTTCCAAATGCATTAAATCCAGTTTTACCAAATGACCCAAATCCATTTGACTGTTGATTATTTTGTCCAAACCCACCAAAACTATTTTGTTGTGTAGTGGTTTGCCCAAATCCTGATGTTAATGAATTTCCTATTGTATTACCAAATCCAACCGCAGTATTTTGGGTTTGTTGTCCAAAACCTGTAAATCCGTTTTGTTGTTGAGAAGAAGACTTAAAAAGGCTTTGTTGACCAAACCCATTATTTTGGGTTTGATTAGAACCAAACCCTGAAAATGTTCCAAAACTATTTATTTGTTGTGTGTTATTTCCAAATCCTGATTGTTGGTTGTTTTGACCAAACCCCATAAAACCATTTGACTGTTGTGAAAGAGGTTTATTGAAACTTAACATACTTAATATTCTTTTGTTGAATAAATCATTTTCAGTCCTTTTTATTTTTACTTTAAAATAATTCACATTCCTTTTTTAATAATTCACATTAATTTGTTATTAAAAACGTTCTTTTATATTTTGTTTTTTATACCATTTATATTTAATAAAAATAACATTAAACTATTTATTTATTAATAGAACTAAAAAATAAAAAAAATAAAGTATAGTTTGTTAATAAAAAATATTTTAAAATATCAAAAAATAGAAAATTATTATTAAGAAAAATTATAACAAAATTAAGAATAATAAATAAATAGAACAAGAGTAATAAAATAAAATTAATAAATTAAGTAAAGTAAACAACTCTTAACTTTTCATTTAAGTTAAGTTAATTTTTCTTAAGAATTCAAATACTAAATAATAATACTTCGTTTAGTTACCACAATATTATTTTAAATTTAGACTGGGTTTACCCCTCAATAAATTCTGTCATTACCATTCAAATTACAATTTATTGTTATTAAAAGTATATTGTCTTACTCATTAAGATTTAATTAACAAACAAAACAATAACACAAAAAAAAAAATAAAGAAAAAGTTTTAAAACAAAGAAGTTAATGGAATATTTATTCATATTTTTAATTTTAAGATTTTCTTTTTTTGGATTAAATTGAAATGAAAGTGAGTTTTGAGAGGAATAAAAAAGTATCTGTAGTTTTTTTATTAAAAAAAATAACAAAAAATATGGAAGAAAAATAAATTATAATCCCGATAATTTACATTGAATTTAAATATAAAATAATTTAGAACTGAATTTGATAGAAAAAGAACTTTAAAAAGAAACTAAAAATAAACAGTTCATGGCTGAAGAAAAAGATTACCTTTTTAAACTTCTTCTTATTGGTGATTCAGGAGTAGGAAAATCTTGCTTATTGTTAAGATTTGCTGATGACACATATACTGATACTCATATTGCTACAATTGGAGTAGATTTTAAGATTAAGACTGTTCAAATAGACGGTAAAAATATTAAGTTACAAATTTGGGATACTGGTTTGTTTTATTTCATTAACGAGTTAATATAAAATTATCATTTAAACCAAACAATAAATAATATTATATTTTATAATTTAATATATTATAAAATATAATATTATTATTTTTAAGGGCTTTTAATAATTATTATAAAAAAGAGAATATAATCTAATTTTTTAGCTGGACAAGAAAGATTCAGAACTATTACTTCATCTTACTATAGAGGTGCTCAAGGTATTATCGTCGTCTATTCAGTTATTGATCTACAAACATTCCAAAATGTTAGACAATGGTTACAAGAAATTGAAAGATATGCTTCAGAAACAGTTATTAAATTACTTATTGGTAATAAATGTGATCTTGAAGATGAAAGAGCTGTTACTGTAGAACAAGGACAAGAACTTGCTAATTCATTGAATGTATCATTCATGGAAGCCTCTGCTAAGAAATCATTAAATGTTGATGAATTGTTCATTAAAATCGCTACTGACATTATGAAGAATATTCAACCTGCTAATACTTCAAAACCAAGTGAGCAAGCTGATCTTAAGAAAGGTGGGTCTGATAAAAAGAAGGGTGGTAAAGGTTTCTGTTCTCTTATTTAAGCAATGACAACTTTTTGTTTAATCCACTTTGCTTGAGTAAACTATCAAACAATTTTTGTTTGGTATTTTTTTAAATTGATTTTTCATTAAATTAAAATAAGAAATATAAAAAAGGATTCGAGACAAAAAATGTTGAATTTAAACCAGAAATTGTTTTATTGTTAA